GATTTCATCCACTGGTGACAATGAATGTCTGTATATATAATTTAATGACAATCCATATTTCAGTCAGGAAAGGTAGACCGACTGACTGACTGACCAGCATTGCTATACACCGAGCCATGCTGCTAGCTGAAAACACAAGCAAGTAGCAAAACCTGGAAAGACTCTTGGCAAATAATATTAAACCACCCATTACTAGTCAACTTCAGGCAACTCTGTGTTACATGACCACTTCCTCTGGCTTTCCTTAATGTTACAATTTATACACAATTAACTTTCTTGTATTGAGAAACTAGGAGATCATATTTATTTTGTGGCATTTTGACCGCATGGGACTTGGTTGCTCAAGGTAATAGAGCACCTACATTAAGCAGGTTGCAAAATCTGCAGCTGAATTTAGGGTGTCAACAGTCAGTGGATGGAACCTCGTATCTTGGACATTAATATTTAGAGTTTCATCGGATGTACTGTATGCCCGATGAAGCTGCTGGTGGTGTGTGTGAGTGCAGTGAGTGATGTGTTGCGTGGTTGGATGATTTCCCCTCTCTCGCTACAGAGCCACTGCACTGCAGAGGAAACTTGAGCTGTGCCCAGCTACTGTGAATGTCAAATCTCTCACAGCTCTTTCTCAGCCGTGCACACAAACCAGCCCACACATAAATAAATACAGACCTGCAACCTACAAACACTTTTTACAAAAGCTCAGTACGATCACCTCCAAATAAAACTATAAAAACAATGCCTACCAGAAATATGAACACTGGTTATAGTTACCCTAAAATATCTCATTTAAAGAAACAATAGCTGGGGAGCTGATACATGTCATCACAACACTTGTCAGAAGAAATTTTAAATTCATAGGGTATATGTTTTGTGTTAACATGTCCTTATTTGCACAAAAGGGATCTTGGTAAATGAAGAAGATTAGCTTGCCTTTACCTCATTCTATTTTCTAGCCCCTTTTACTGACAGTCTGGCTGATTTATTTCCCTGCAGGTTTAAGAAATGAAACTAATTTGCAATAAATTATACCCTTATTTGTGTGATTTTGCTATCAGCCTTATTGTTTTGTACTGATCAGGAGGTAGGAAATAACCCTCATGGAAATAAACACTTAAGTCAGCATTAGTTGAAGGTGCTGTAATCAATGTTTTTATATTAACAATGGGGTGAAACTGCTATGTCTAATGTGACAGGTGAGAACTATCACACAAATTTGCAGTTCCCGTCAGCTTTTCAGTGCCTCTTTGCATCATTTTGTTCATTGTTTTGGTTTCTGCCCCTTAACTTTGCTGTTTTGGTTCCCTCTCACAGATATCACAGCATTGGATTTGGCAGCTATTGTCAAATGAAAAGCTCCAAAATCCCATCGTACACTACTTGAGTAGTCCCAATGGTAACCAGAGTATACAACTAGCTGATGAACACAGCAGATAATATGTTTCCTTTAGTTAGAGAGCAAAAGCAGAACCAAAGGGAACTCTGTAGGCGATACCCCCTATCAATCCCAGAATACAATGCATCATTTACTCCCTCACGTCATTGTGAAATAGGACCATTACTGAAAACAGGTTAATCTGACCAGGGAATTGCACTGAGAAATACAGTGCCTTGCGAAAACACACTCTTGTGTGTTACAGCCTGCTCAGTGTTTTATAACTAAGGTGTCACTTTATTTTTAAGCTCATTTAATAAGACAAGTTGAACCAGAACAGACTCATTTGGAGCAGCATAGAAACACATACAGTACACACATGGATCACTGTGTAGAGCTATGGGCAGCTTCTGCACAACTTCTATAATTAATTAAAGTCCCACTCCAGAAACATTTTCATTTTTATATTTGTATATAAAAATACTTTACTATAAACAATATGCAGTCTAACACAGCTTTTCCTCAAAAAAATTTCAGTGGGCCTCTGTAATAGGAATGAACATTGCCCCTCATTGTGCATTCCAGGATCTATGAATGTTGCCGTCATCCCTTATGTGGATTTGAATAATTTTGCACGCCCAATTTTTTAGTTTTTTATTTGTTAAAAAAGTTTGAAATATCCAATAAATTTCGTTCCACTTCATGATTGTGTCCCACTTGTTGTTGATTCTTCACAAAAAATTACAGTTTTATATCTTTATGTTTGAAGCCTGAAATGTGGCAAAAGGTCGCAAAGTTCAAGGGGGCTGAATACTTTCGCAAGGCACTGTATTTTAGTTACCAGTGACTGACTACTCCCTGTAATGTAAGAAGGCTGCGTATATAAAGATGAAACAACCGATAAGTACAGTAACACCGAGTAGATCTAAGAGTTTCTCTATGTTAAAAACCCTTCCTTCACCCCATTGCAGCCTCATCCTGCTGCAGAAATAGCAAAGTCATTAAACCAGGCGGCTTTGAAGGAGTTACAGTAACATTAGAATGAATTTTTATATCCAATTAAAATTCACACAAACAGCACAAACAGGATGTTTTGAGCCTCAGGAAGGAAAGCGATATCCACAAGAATGTGTAACAAAATAAGCTCTCTATTATGTGATTCCATCTGGAGTTACATCTGCTCAGTGTGTACTGTCTTCCAGTAAAAGACAAGCATATAATGTCACCAGAGGCTGTCAACTCTAAAAATAAAAAAAAAGATGTAGACAGTAGAAATTTTTTTGCTCCCTGATCTGCATCCATTATCATTTTAAACTAAGTTGATTAAAATATACTGTAATTCAATCCAATATTGTTATTGCACATACAGTATGTACAATGAAATTGATTCTCCAGTAGTACTCAGACTAAAAGAAAAGCACTATTCCTGTACAATCAATAAATAAATAAAGCAGTAAACAATGTAACAGTCAAAAGATGTGTTAAAATCAACAACACAACAAACAAATCACAGTGCAATTAACAATCAAATATCATTCAGTTCCCCAACAGCACATGGGTAGAAGCTTCTCTGAAATCTGGAAGTGTGTGCCTAAAGACCAATAGCGCCTTCCAGAGGGGAGCAGTGTGAAGAATATTAGTTTGTATTTGCAGAAGATTACTGGTGCAAAAGGACTGTGGGCATTATGTACTGTATTAACAAGTTACTCAATTAAAACAAAAGACCACAGAGAATTTCTGCCTTATCATTGATAATTAATTCAGTGGGTTATATAGGCCTTCCTGGGCTAAATGACAACTTTATGTTTTAATTCTGTTGTAATTCTTTAAACTATAATACATTTATGAATTTTAGCATGAAATTTGTATAGTTTTATTAGTACATTTAACTTAAATCTATAATAAGATTACAGCTGTATTTTTGTTTAATCAAGTGGCTGACTTAGCCTGCTGCTCCACATGAATGAAACCTTTTACTACTGACATACACAAGCAGAGCATTACTGATTCATTTTCATTTGGTAAAGTCGATGTATAAACTTTTAGTGTCTTTTTAGTGAATAAAGACATAAACAAACACTCTCTTTGCTGGTTGAATGCAAGCTAACTGTGCTTATCATTTGAAAAGGTCAGTGTGCGTTTCAAACTGTTTCTCATTTTTCTGTCTATCTGCACAATGGACCCGTAAACCTCAAGACATACTGTACCTCCTCTGCCTGTTTAATTTAGACTTAAGGCAAGTAGGTCACAATATTTGATGAGAATGAGATTTAAGGGCACATTGCAGGATTATGAGGCAGAAACTGCTAATTGTGAATGGCCACTGAGGTTCATTTGATGTTACTGAACCAAGCGGGAGGCTGACATTACAGAGTGCTGTGTTAGAAGATAATTATTATTACAAGATAGCCAATTATTAATAAGAAAAAAGACACTATAATTTTGTGACTGACTGATTAGCTTTATTGTGAAAAGTGAAACCATGAAAGTGTGAAAGAAAAAAAAAACTTCAATAAAGCCGGTTACTGTGAAAATAAATAAAATGCCATATTGTACAGTTGCACAACATCACAGTAACTGTTGTCTACAAGATTAAGAAATATAAAGGCACACAAATATAGGCACAATTTAATATAACCATGAATTCATAATCAAATACTTTTAAAACTCATTGTGAAATGTAAAAATATTAAATATGATTGTTGTCATAATAAGTTTAGTGCAGTTAAAGACATTTTGAAACCAAAAACAACTAAAATTTACTAAAAATGACATGAAATAGGCTAAAGTCTGCATTTGTTAAATAAAACACAATGCAATGTGAAGTAGTGATGTGTCGTTCGTGAACGAGCCGGCTCTAAGAGCCGATGCTTTGTAGGGAACGAGAAGAGCCACTCCCGCCGGAGAGAGCCGAATCTTCAGCCGCTATTGGTCAGCTCTGCTGACAATCCATGCACAGAAGAGCGAGACTATTTTTATGGGCGCACCATTCGACCAATCACGTGCGAGGACAGACTAGACTCATACTGTTGTGTGAAAGACGTAAGGGGGCGGGGCCAGACGCTCAGACAGCGAGTGTAGTGGTAGTACAGGACAGGTACACACAGACGGGGAGCCAGGTTAAAAGCAAGCGCGTCGGGAAAAACGGAGG